ATTTTTCTGGAGAAGGTTACACTGGGGGCTTAAAGCCTATGGCAATTTGTTTTGCTATGCATTGTATTTGCTGGAGACATACCACCCATTTTGTCCCCTATTTTTTTTCCTTTGGCAATGAGACTGTCTATTCTATGCTTAATTCTACAGGACACAGCAGAGGCTGTATCCTGTGTGACAAGATTCAGCATGAAAGGCTCCTATTACCTGAGCCAGATGCATCACTGATCTGCGGCCACCAGTTTCTTAAGTTCATATCACTTTAAGGGACCAAGTACAAATGTCTATAGCGTATGTCATTCTTAAACTGCAGAAATGGTGTCGAGGAAGAAGGTGAAGATGAGAGAGCAGGAGGAATTATGAAAATCCAGATAGCATCTTCTCTTCTAGAGTGGAAGGTACACTAGTACTTTTATGAAACAATAAAATAGATGAAATGTGTCATCATCATGGAGTGTCTCACAAGGGCAGTGCACAAATAAATTTCTAAATATATCATCAGGTAGGTGTGATGGATGAGGCTTATTTCCACACAGGGAGCCCATAAATATCCAGGTAAGTAAAAAATCCAACACCTGGAAAGAAAAATGCCTCATCTTGACATCACAAACCCATCTCAGTAAGTTTGAGGAGTAACGTGGAAATGAAAAGGAAAATTCAAAAACACATTTATCATGAAATTTTTAGCACATGTTTGAACATTAAAACAGAATTATCCACAATTTTAGGAAAACCACCCCATGCCACCGAATCACTACACTCATCGAAACACCACTGAGTCAACGGAGTTCTAACTGTGAGCAGGTCAGTCAGTACTGGGGCCTCGGGAGAATCAAGGCTCTCGGGTACATTTTACAGAACCCAGAATTGAGCCACACGATCTATAGCCAAAAGATCTTTGACAAACTTCACAAAAAATTAACAAAAATATACACCAGAAAAAGGATATCCCATTCAATAAATGGTGCCGGGGAAATTGGAAACCAACATGCAGAAGAACAAAACTAGACCCCTACCCTCAACTCACACACACTCAACACAAAAGGAATTAAAGACTCAAACTATAAATGTACTCAAACTATACAAACTATATAGACCTCAAACTATAAATGTACTCAAATAAAATACCAGGACAACTCTTCTGGGCATTGACCTAGGTAAAGAATTTATGACTAACACCACAAAAGCACATCCAAGAAAAAAATAGACAAATGAGAATTAAACTAAAGAGATATTTCACAGCAACAGAGTGAACAGGCAAGTTGCAGAATGACAGAAAATTTTTGCACACCTTGCCTGTGACAAGAAACTAATATGAAGAATTTACAAGGAATTAAGCTCTACAACAACAATGGGAAGAAGAACCAAATAACCCCATTAAAATGAGCAAAGGACATGAGTAGACATTTCCAAAGAACACATACAAATGGATAATACATATATAAACAATGCTCAACATCACTAACCATCAGGGAAATGCAAATTAAAACCACAATAAGATATTATCTTACAAAAGCCACAGTAACTATTACTAAAATCTCAAAAGTATCAGATGTTGGTGAGGATGGAAAGTAACAGGAACTCATCAACACTGTAGATGAGAATGTGGACGAGGACAACCTCTATGGAAAATGGTACGGAGTCTTCCCAAAAAACTGTAAATAGAACTGCCATTTGATCCAGCAATCCCGCTATAGGGTAAC